ATGGGCTGCCAAAAGAACCAATAGATCTGTTTTGGAAGAAGTACAGCCAGAGTGCTCCTTAGAGGCCAAGATGGCCAAACTTCATCTCTCATACTCTGGACATATTATCAAGAGGGAACAATCGCTGGACAAGTATATCATGCTTGGTAAGATGGAGGGTCAGAGAAAAAGAGGAAGACCCCCAACGAGATGGATTGGCCAGGTGACAGCATCGATGGACTCAAGTATGGCAACAGTAGTGAGGTTGACCCAGGATCGGACATTGTTTCGTTCTGCTGTGCATAGAGTTGCTATGAGTCTGTGCTGACTTGATGGCACCTAACAACAACAACAACCCTTCCACCCCAGTAATCATCAAAGAGTGTTTCTTTTAGTATAAAAATCTGTTATTAAGTTTTTACAATAATGTTGTTGTTGTTATGTGCCGTGAAGTTGATTCCAATTCTTAGAGACCCTGTACAGGGTTTCCGAGGCTGTAAATCTTTGCGGAAGCAGAAAGCCTCATCTTTCTCCCTCGAAACAGCTGGTATTTTCGAACTGCTTACCTTGAGATTAGCAGCTCATTCGTAACCACTATGCTACCAGAGCTCCTTTTTGCATATAATAATGGTCTCGCATAATATTTGTCCTATTGTGATTGACTGATCCAACTTTTTAAAGCATCAAATCAGACTTCATCTTTTTCTTAAAAAGGAAAATTAACAGCGGTTTGTCAATTAAGAATAGGGGAGCTTTGCAAGTATGGTTACCAGTTTCCATTGTATTCTAGATTTCTGTTGATAAAATGGCTCTGTATATACATATAAAAGACTCTCTTAGCATGTGTATCTTGTTTCTATCAGAGTAGTAAAAAAAAGATGATACTCAATGTGTGTTATAAAGAACTGAGACAGTTTGAAAAAGGCATCTGAATTGTATCGTCAGTATTGACTAGCTATAGATTAATCAGTAATATTATGTGAAACATGAGTTGGAGACATCAAGTATATATAGATAATGAAATGACTTGAACACAAGTTTGCAAAATACAATTATAGTATTCCCCCATATCTGCAGGGAATATGTTATGAGACCCCCAGTAGATGCCTGAAACAGCAGATAGTACCAGACCCTCCATATACATCTATGCTGTTTTTTTCCTATACATACATACCTATAATAAAGTTTATAAATTTGTCACAGTAAGAGATTAACAACACTAATAATAAACTAGAACAATGATTAAATTAAATAAGGGTTACTTAGACACAAGCACCATGATACTCTGACAGTCTTGTCTGTTAGCTGAGCTACGTACTAATAGGTGATCTATTAGATAAAGTGATGATTCATGTCTCAGGTGAGATGGAATAAGATGGCACGAAATTGCACTGGGCTACTCAAAACAGCACACAGTTTTTAAACTTATGAATTATTTATTTCTGGAAATTTCCATTTAGTATTTTTAGGCCATCATTAACTGCAGGCAACTGAAATATCAGAAAACAGAAGCATGGATAAGAGGGGCCACCGGTACTCTTCGTGCTGACTTAATAGTTTGCTTACTGCCTAATAGAAATCTGTTTTAATAATAAGACTTCACTTGTTCTTTATATCTGTCATGTTATCACCGATTTTCTTATTTTTTTGGGTCAGGGTTCCAGTTGAGTCATCTTCTCTTTTGTCAGGATCACCAAGTCATAATCAGGTAATTTTCAGAATACTCTAGGGTTTTTGTTTTGTGTGCATTTTTATATTTGTTTAACTGTTTTCCCTCTTTTGAAATACTTAAATTGCTGTTAATTAACAGATATCTGTAAACTCCTGTCTTTTTCATGGTATAGTTAATACCATATGAGTGTGTGATACTTAGCAATAATGTTTTTAGGCACCAGACAAAAAAATAAATTTTTATCCATACTCAGAAAAAAACACTGCAAAGATGGGAAAAGATTAGCAATAAATTTTAAGAAAAGCTATTGTGACTATAAAGTAGTTTGGGTCAGTAGTTGTTCCTTAAATTGTTTAGTAATATTGATAAGTTGATCCATAACCCCACTTGCATATGCAAAACGATACTTTTGTTCTAGCTATCACACACAGACTTGGAACTTCATCGGAGAAGAGAACAATTAATAGAGCGCACTCGGAGAGAGGCACAGCGTGTTGTCCTACAGTATGAAGAGGAGAAAATGAGGACCAAGCAGATTCAGAGAGATGCTGTCCTGGACTTCGTCAAAGTGAGTCATAGGAGTGCCTTGAATAATACTCCTAAAGTTACATGGAAGTAAATGCATATTTGTTTTACTAAGATTGTTTGTTTTATTGTCTTTATTGAAAAATCAGCTTTTAATTTTAGTTTTTTCACATTATAGAGAATCTTGGCTAAATTGTGTGACTGTCTCCTACTTACGATTACATTAACTGTCTCCTTGCAGATAGGCTTGAGGACATAAGTGATTATCTTGCTCTTATGACAGTCGTCCCTTCTAGTTAACAGTCAGTCCGTCATATCACTTAGCTCTGCAGCTGCCACTTCCTCAAACTCTGTCATTATAGACAGTCTAGATTGGTTTTTAAATTGGAATCTAATCTTCATCTATAGTCAAAATGAACCATTGTTAAGTTCTTTGGCAGCAGAAAACATTCATTTCTGAAAACTGAACCTATTTAATACATGTAGGACACACTAGAAAGAAAGTAACTAGAAGAAGGAAAATGAAATAGAGAGTAATTTTGATAATTAGACTAGGACGTGAAATGAAGTAAAACTAGATTATTTCGATTATTTCTAAAGATACTAAGGGAAGGCAGTTGTTGCCCAATGCTAGGAGCTTCAAATCAGAAATAGCTGAATTTGAATTCAGCTGTACCTTCACTGTGTTTTTTACAGAAGTTACTGAACCATTTTGTGTTTCTAGCTTCCTTGTGTAGTACTTAACTATTAAATATTTACTCTTTTAGAATTATAATACTTCTTCCTATTATGGTGGGTGTGGCATTCTTTACCACCATAATGAATTATATAAATTAAGAGATTTCAGAAGAAGCATCAGCAACGTGTGCTTTGCACATGGCTGTAATGAGTGTTGAATAAGTCAGTGCAAATGAATTTTCAAAAAAAGATCTTAAAGCAAGGTTTTGAGGCTAAAAGAGTAGTTTTAATAGAATTTCTAGCATAATCGAAAGAATGTAGGATTTAGAGTCAGAAGACTTATATACAAATCTCATTTATGATACTTAGCAACTTTGTAACCTTGCACATGTCATGTAACCCTTTTATCCTCAATTTCCTTAATGAATATGCTTGATAATATTTGCTTATCTCCCAAAGTAAAAATAAGACTTACTTGACGTACTATATATAAGAACACACTGTAAAACATTGACTCTACAGATTTTATAATATTATTTGACATAATAAATTGGCAAACTAGAAAAGAAACAATTATTATGAGAACTTAATGAATTTGTTTTGGCCTGTGTTGAATATGAAGTGACATTAAGGTTTCCAAGTGGAGAATTTTCTTCACAAGAGTTTAAAGTACAAATGTGAAATTTGGTTGATAAGTGAGAGCTGACATTGTTAGCAGTAGAAGTAATATCTGAAATCATTAGAATGATTGCACTAAATCTGTTATTGAGAGAGCAGAGTGAGATCATCACTCTGATTGAGACTATGCATGTGTGTGTTTGTTTACATAGAACTTTTATTTTGATTTACAGAAGCTTATAGATATATGAAAATAATCTTTGTCAGTTTATTGGCTTTTCTCATTTAAATTGTAAGATATTTAAGGGAAGAGGCAATAAATCTAGAAAAGTGCCATATTCAAGAAATACAGAAATTAATATGAATGATTATTTTAATAAGTAGTTTTTCTAGTTTTCAAGGTTCTAACAATTCTCTTTTTTGGGGGTGTGATTATACAGCAAAAAGCATCACAAAGTCCACAGAAACAATTCCCCTTAGATGGTGAGGTAAGTATACATAATTGTCTTCTCTCGGGAAATTACTTATTATTGCAATAGCAATGTAATGTTTTATTTGTTATTATTGAATATAATGATCAAAATATTGCCATTTTTCTTTCTCACAAAATTCTACAACACAGGCCTGAGAACTTGTTAGAATCTCTAGAAGGGTTTTCTTAAAAATCTGTACATACCCACCAGATTATGATGCTTTCCTTTCCTCACCTGCTGCCACAGGCATCATTCCCTTCATCCATTTTAGAAGCATATGTGTGTTGAGAGAGTCCTGTTGGCTGTAACTGGCATGTGTGAATAATGCATTGACATTAAACATAAAACAGCGTACATAGCACTTTAGCTTCAGTGGTCATTTCCTAAGTTTTGTGTGTATGATTATGCTTCATACACATTAGTTTTATAATATTAAGTAGTATATTCTCATTACAAATTAACACGTAAAATTAATTGCTTAAATCTTTTTAACCAGCTATTTCTAGCTGATTAAAATGAAACTTCCAAAATTAATGCTTTTATTGTAGTTCACTTTTCATTAACTACCTTCCCATTTCTTCAACTTTTGATTACTTCCTTTAGAAAGGCATATTTTCATGTGAATTTTGACTCTGCTTTTTGTAAAATAAGTTATTTGAAAACCTTACTTATTTGGAATTTACAAGCATCTATTTCCAGCACAGTGTTTTTATATAAGCACAGGTTTTTCTGGTATGGGAAGAATATATTGTTTGAAATGTTTTAAATAAAATCTATTGTAAAGTTAAAAAGTTTTTATTAGGGACATATAACTACTTATTATTTACATGAGAATATTATCAGTGATATAATACCTGAAAGATCCACTTAAGTGATTTCATTTTGAGTTTGTTTTTTTTTTCGCATGGTAATAATTCTGTACAAACCTTTACAACAAAAGTTTGATCATTTAATGCACTTTACCTTTTCTTACCTCAACATTGCCTTCATGAAGGGGATTTTGGATAATTAATTAGATAATTAGCTAAAGCCTCTCAGGGAAGTAAAGTGTACAACTTTAAAATTTTAAATTATACTTTTTGTCTGAAAGGGATAATGAAAAGATGCCTACACTGGAATACATGATTCTTGAACTTACTGTTTAATTTGTAACAGATTCACTAAATGACCACAAATTCTTGGTTATAGCTTCATCTATGTTTCAGTTTTCTTTCTTTGAACAGAGAATAATCCCAGTTCCCTCTATGCTTTAGAAGCTTGTTAGGTATTAAGATCATATTTGAAATTGTTTAAACTCTTTGGAAAAATATTATTACTCAGCGTGAAGTTATTTTCTATTGTACATGAATTCCAAATGATGGTGAATGTGCTCCTCTATGTCAGCATCTTTGCAAGTATGTTGTAAATGTTTCTTTGTTTGTGTGTGTGTATTTGTGAAATACATCATGTGTGTACTCAGTTTGTTTTTTGACATTGCTTCATTTTTTTCCACCTATTCAGTGTCCTTTCCCATCCAGAAGGTGTCAGCATACTGATGATAGTGCCTTGTTAGTGGTAAGAGCATTGCAAAAATGATAGTTTTAAATTGCTGCATCTAGAGATTGAAGAATAGCTTTTCTACTTTTCACTTAGAAATGATTGAAATATCATAAAACATGATGAGTTTCTTCACTAAATGCTGTATACATAACTATAATTGTTTTCCTGCATTACCATTCTGGTTTACCCAGTGTTGTGCAGCTATGATTATCTTTATCAGTGTTTTCTAAAGTAGAATGTTTGCAATGAGAACCATATTGGCTTTGTGTGTGTGTGTGTGACATAACATAATATTCGTTGTTGTTTCTAATTCCAAGCATACTTAGCTTTATTAATCATTAATTTGACTCATGAATCACCCGTGTGTTAGTTAAATGGATTGCCTTACTCTCTGTGATGTTAATTATCTAACTGTGTATATGGCATCCTATTAAATATTTTAAGCTGCTAAAAATCCCAATCTTTGGCTGGTTTTAAATATATAGATCTCAGAATCATTCCGCCATGGCCATTATTAAAACTCAGGAACACATGAGCTGGAATGATCATTTTCAACATGGGTTTACTATTGTTGACTTTATTGTCAGCTGAAAATGAGCATAACATCAGAGCTTTATTTAAAGTCTTTTCTCAGCTCAGCTTTGCAAACAAAATCTAACTATTTGCAGAATTGCTTTTCTTATCATGTTTTATGCTATTTTTTTCCCCACAGTAGTATTGAAACTAGCAATTCAAGTATCTAGTGTCCTGCAGTTCCTGTGTTATGTAACTGTTAGTAACTGTTGCCATTGTGTGTACCACTGCATGAACTGCATGCTTCAGCATGAGATTCCTATTACATAAACTTCCATTGTCTCTTAAAATGTCTGTGTATTCAGCAGTCGTTATATACTTTTGAGATTGATACAGCACATTTTAACTGGGCAGTCTTAGAGATGAATACACCGCTAGCTTCTAGCGTTTTAGGGATAGGAAGCAAGTAATCATTTAAATTCATGCAGAAAAAAACTGAGTCTTTGATGATCCAGACACTTTATCAAGATTACCTAAAGCACTCCTCCCAACAACCTGAAGAGGTAGGAAGTTTGAATCATTTACCAATGATGACTCAAGGCACTGAATGATTAAATTACTTATATAAGGTCATGTAACTTGTAAGTGCAAGATTGCATTTGCATATCAGTCTGGCTACTTGAGAACTGTACTGTCCTCCTACCCTTACTACAGTTGAAACTGAATGTGAGATGGAAGAACGCATACAGTAAATAATATACACCTGAGTACTCAAGAAAAACAAGCAAAAACTTTTCAATATGCAATTTAATGTGATTGAATCTCACATCTCTTTGCATGCCAGATAGTGTCCTACATGGTCTTTTGAGTCATATTTTAAATCACACCTCTAACCAGTTCAAAATTACTCTTTTAAGTGCTTATTGCTTTTAAAAGATAGTCCAAACTTTGTAGCATGATACATAAGTTTCTACATGTTCTGACCTATTTCTGTCTACTTCACCAATATATTTTATATATTGGTGTACAGAGGAGATAGGATTGATCCTTGAGGTGAAGACTTCTTCCCTCTCAGTTGGTATTTTTAGCAACTACTTCAATAAATATAGGTCAAGTTCATCAAATTATAGTAATTTACTCTTTTTTTTAACGTTTTTATTGTGAGGTTTACATGGGAGAACATCAGCTTTACACTCATCCTATCGTATTTCGTTTCATGTGCAATGATTACAATCCCTTCTATGCCTCATCAAATAACGAAAGGGTACACACAGGCCCACCGACTGGCCGCCAGCACACAGCCCTTCTCCCTCCCTGAGTACAGTGTCCCCAGCCACTCGTCTGTTCACGTCATCGTCTCTGTTGCCAATCCTGCAAGTCTGGTGCTCCTGTGCATCTCCCCTCACTTCACATCAGCTGGATGCTTCACTCTCCACTCTAGTCCTCTATGGCCATGTCACTGCCTCTGGGCCCAGGAATCCCCAGGTCTTGCCTTACTGCTGGCCATCCAGGTCTCCACCCAGGTCCACAGGGGTCTATTGAAAGTGTCGGGCTTACCTTGCAACTTAATTGTTGTTTTTCCACCCTCTTCTCCTTATCAGTGACCAATATGGTCACCAGCCAGACCACATGCCTGCTCATGTATTCCCCTTGAGTCTCAGTCTTGGAAGGGGGTTTGCTCTGAGGGTTCCCGAACACTTGCCTTTGTGGCTCCCGGGCGAACAGCTTACGTGTTCTTGTAGTAATCAGTCAGACTGCCGTTATTGTTTCGGATTTTTCCTGCCTGTCTTTCTTTCACAAAGTATCTTCTGTTCTTGTAGCCACTCCAGGCTGGTCTGCTTGTCCTTTCCAATGGAAATTTCCTACCTCGGTTGGTTCTGGATGGAGTTCTGGATTCCACCTATGGTCTTGTGCAATGTAAAGGCTCCACAGGAAGCCTCTTTTGCTGGGCAACTTCTAGTCCCTTTTAAGGTATTCCAATCAGTTACAGGCTGAAGACTGACTTAAAAGCTTTCTGTAGGGATGTTTCTGGC